CCAGGTCATTCTTTGTGAAACGGAGGGAGTATTATTTATGCAATTCTTTTAACATGTAGTTGTAGATATTTATGTGCATTGAAACATTTATTAGGGTTGATGAAATTAAAATAGGCAAGTTACATATTTAATCGACCGATTAAAATATATATATATATATATATATATATGTATATATATTTCTCAACTAGAATACAATGATTAAAGAAATATTTATATTTCGTGCATTATTGAGCATTGTAGTATTACTTTTTTTTTATTAGACAAAAGAGCAAAAAAAAAAGGCTGCAAGTAGTCTCTATTACAAATTTACCGACAAGAGTTGTGATGAAATAGATAGAATCATTTCGCTTGTACTAAGATAATTCTTTCGTGTAAAAATCCTACTATTAAAGAGAGTATCTCCCAATGAACCTTACTAGAAGCAAATTAATCAGTATCAATACGATACCAAACACCCGAAGTAGGGAAAAAAACACTGTTATTTTTTCTCAGCTAATCGATTTGTATTTGAAAGTATATAAAAACTAGCAAAGAGAAGTAGATTAGTTTGACATATTTACACACTTTGCCTTTAGTCAATATATAAATAATATTATATTTTTGAAAAAAGGGGAAAATAAGGCCGCTTTTGATTAATCTTTTCAATATCAGAGTTTACAAAAAAGAATTACATTTTTAAATTTTTTTATAATCTCTTGTTTGTTTGGGTTACTTTTGAATATAATCAACATAGATTATGATGCAATGGTGGACTAGCGGGACTGCTTCACCTGTTATCAGACGTCTCAAATTTGAGTCTTATTAGGTATGATTTTTTTTTTTTGAGTGTCACCCCGAATGGACTCTGTAGTACGCAATCCAAAAATTAGTCGGGGCTCCAGAATCGATATTTGTGCACTTTGAACTTTGTAGCTACACTCCCAATCTAATTGGTTGTATGTCAGAAATTGTTTGTAAAAAAGCCCAAAATAAGATTTTTAATGGCCCAATCTGTGAGCCTTCTAATGATCCAAACCCATGTAAGAAGCCCAACTTTAAACTTCATTCAACTGGGCCTCAATGGAGGGAAAACCTTCTTACTATATGGTGAAATTCGTTTCAAGAAAGAAGGTAAACAATTTTGAAGTTTTTGTAATACATAAACCTATTTTTTGAAGGAGAAAAATTCAGATATAGCAAACATAATGGACATACTCTATACCTATAGTTAGGGGTGTACAAAATCGAATCGAAAATCGAACCAAACCGCAAATCGAGTCAAACCGAAGAAACCCCCGACTAGTGGTTTGGTTTGACTTGGTTTGGTATTGGAAAAAAAAACCCAATTATAGTTGGGTTGGTTTGGTTTTAACTAAAAAAAATCAACCTGAGACCAAACCAACCCGACATGATATATGTAATTGTAAAATTTTATTTTATACATAAAAATATTTACTCTGATATAATTTTAAAATATTTCTTATACTATTTCATAGTTTTTATCTTTTAATATATTATTTCAAGTTTAAAACTTAGAATTCGGAATGGTCCAATAAAGATTATAGTTCATAGATGTTGATAATTATAATAAAACTTAAATCAAAATCAAATTAATACTAATGCAAAAAGAAAATCAATTCAACACTAAGAATGACAATAATATTGAATATTTATTCTTTAGTTTTACATTGAAATATTTACTTTGATATAATTTTAAAATATTTCTTATACTATTTCATAGTTTTTATCTTTTATTATGACTTTACAATATTTATTTTATATGATGATTTCATTATTATTTTTTATTGAATATTTTAGTGTCATCAATACCCATCTCATATTTTGTGTTATTTTCTTAAGAAACACCTTAGATAATTGTATTTTGGCTGGACTAAAGAAATATTTGGAGCACAAGTTAATTATATGTTTTTATGCAAACTTTACCGAAAAAATACGAGGTTTATTAGTTTGGTTTGATTTATAAATTTAAAAATTCAACACAATGGTTTGGCTTGGTATTTGAAAAACCCGAACCAACCCGAGGTTGAAAAACCCAAATTTTATTAGTTTGGTTTGGTTCATAAATTTAAATTTTTTACATAAATGGTTTGGTTTGATATTTGAAAAACCCGAACCAACCTGATCATGTACACCCCTACCTATAGTTTTGATAATTGCGCTTTATAGCTATAGTTTCGTTTGCCAGACAGTGGTGGAGCCACCTTAGAGTTAGGGTGTTTATCTGAACCCCTTCGGCAAAAAATTATATTATTTATATATGGTTAAAATAATTTTTTAGGTATATATAATAGATGTCGAACCCCCTTCGACTACTTCGTCTGTCTACTTTTTCATATTTTGAACCCCTTTATTATAAAATCCTGACTCCGCAACTAGCTATGGAGGTTGCGATTTGTATATTTATGCCTATTTGTATATTTTGCTTGTGAATATACAAATAGGATAAACATATACAAATTATGTATTTATATATTTAGGAATTTTTGAGAATTGTGTTTGTATATTTCACTTGCCAATATATAAACAGGATAACTTATTATGATTTTTTCATAAATCATATATAAATAAATATGATAAGCATATACAAAATCCTGAATTTATACAATCAAGAACTGAATTATATAAATTTTGGATTTATACAAATCAGACAAAATTATACAAATCAAACAAATAACAAAAATTAGGAAAATTATAATCACAAATTACATTTTTCTTAAACTATAGCTATAATACCTACTATAGACTAAATATTTGCTATTCTCCATATTTTTTCCTTCAATATATCACTCTTATCATTCATGAAAGTTAATAAAATTATGTAAAAATTAGCCAATTTATAAACCAATTTTTTTTAAAAAAAAAATCCATTCAAAAGAGCTTCACAATACTACCAAATCCCCAATTCTCAAATTTTTGTTCAAAAAATGGCGATCGCTTATCTACGGAGATTTGCTTCCCGAATCGCCCGAAACGCTTCTCTATCATCTTCCTTCGGATCCTCAATCGCTCGATCTTCCGCTTCATCGTCGTCGCCGTCGGCTTCCGCCAAGGTCGCCGATCGGATTGTCAAGCTATCCGCCGTCGATCCGGACGGGAACAAACGTGAGGTTATCGGACTCTCGGGTCAAACACTGCTCAAAGCCCTAACGAATCAGGGGTTAATTGACCCAGATTCTCATCGGCTTGAAGATATCGATGCTTGTTCAGCTGAATGTGAGGTACACATTGCTCAGGAATGGCTCGAGAAGCTTCCACCAGCTTCATATGATGAGAAGTATGTTTTGAAGAGGAATTCTAGAGCTAGAGTTTTGAACAAGCACTCTAGACTTGGATGTCAGGTGGTTCTTTCCCAGGAGCTTCAAGGTATGGTTGTGGCACTTCCTGAACCCAAGCCTTGGGATATCCCCTAAGGTGAAATGAAAATTTGTTGAGGTTTTTGAATTGAAATTTTAGTGTTTTGAGATAATAATAATATATGGGAACTTTTGGTACTTGATAATGTTTTTTTTTTATTTATTCAGTATGTTTTAGCCACTAGAATGTTCCCAATTCGAACTAAGTGGCAATATGATGTTGAAGTTGGCTGAAGTTCACAACTTTGTTTGTTTGAATTTTGAAATGAATGATTTCCCATTTCATGTTATATCCTTATAAGGATGTATTGCTACACTTGCTTATCTGACAATTATTATTGGGTATATGGTAGCCTTTTGAATTACGATTCATATACAATTGTTGCCTAAGGTAGAGATATTCGGCATACTGCGGTATCTGCTACTGGATGTCTGTATTATATTTGGATTCTACTTTTTTTTTTTTGGTAATTAGGAATTTTATTACCAAGTAAGAATAAATACCGCTCAATACGAACGAAAAGGACGGCTAGGGATACTGGACATAGTCCCAGCGTCATCTATATCTCCACTACTCCTCATCAACACCCATTCAAACTAGCTATGGTAGAAATTTAAGGGATAGAGGATATTAACTAGCTTTGGCTTCATACAAGCTCGGATATAGACATCTTGGGTTACATATTTAATTAGTGCAGCAACGGTTCATCTTTTCCCTTGCAACACTGCTTGGCTCCTCTCATGTCAGACCTAATATATGCATGCAGATGGTGTCATTCAATATTAGAATTGATGTGGCTCTGTTTGTCTTGTACTATACTTCCATCCATAATTTCCAGCTTAGTAGCTTACACCAGATATCTGCAGCTATGAGACACTTGAAGAATTAAGTGGTCCAGTGTTTCATCAGCTCCTTTACGCAGATGACAGATAGGATCCACATTTACTCTCCATTTAATCAGCCTATATTTAGTATATAACTTAACATTAGCTACTAGATACACCATAAATCCATTTAGGAAGGACAGGATTCCTACAGATTAGTTTCTCCAACTTACTCTTGGCAATGACCCCATGAATTTTAGGAACATTTATCCTTACAGAAAATACCTTGGCCTTCAGTTCTGCAGTGTCATTTGAACCAGTAGCTTCCATGTAGGTTGTTGCTTTCAACACCTTCTTGATTATCCAGGAAGCTTGGTTAGCAACAGTTCCACACACTGGTCCATCACTCCATCTTTTATCTAATGTCGGTGAACCTATCTAAACCACAGTTTGTTCTCCTTATTGCATAGTTCCAGCGAAATTTGCACACAGCAGCCTTTTTCCAGTGCCCAATATTGAGTAGATTTAATCCACCTGAACTCATAGGCAAACATAGTCGCACTCACCGGTAAACATAGTCTATCCCAGGCAATCAATGCTTTTTTGGGAACTTCTACATTATCTGGACAAAAGAGGGTTCTATAGATCCTTACTATTTGCTCCATGACTTTCTTAGGCAGAAGAAAGATTTGAGACCAATAGGTTCGAATAGAGAAAAGTAAACTTTTTAGCAGCTGCACTCTGCCAGCAATTCAAATGCTATTTTGTTAAGTAGAAATATGTCCTATGCCACATGAGACAAATATGTTGACTTTTGGAGAGTGGAAGTTCTAAAACAAAATCTTGCGGAGGACTGTAGATGGGGTTACTTGAGCAAAATCAAATGCAGATTCAACATTAATTTTTGGGAGGTCAGGACTTAGGAGCGAGACAGTCTCAGATAGAGTGCTTCTATAGTGAGTCTTTAGAAATGTGACCTAGTGTTCCTTTTGTACTTGTGTGAATCATTTGGCATTCAGAAGGTCGCAAATTATGTAGGTTACAAGAGCCAACAAATGACCCATATAGTGCTCCTACTGAGCCAATGAGTGACCCAACTGGTCCAGACCATGGCCAGCCCAATGCTCAAGACCAATGTATCATGATAATCTACTGAATTGACTATCAGAATTGGTTAGGTGCACCTTTCACCATTTCTTACATACTTGTCCTTTTTTTCAGGTTATGAGTATTCACTTCAGCTTTTGATATTTGTTTCTTATTTCTTAAACCAAAGTACTGTTGAATTTCTTCTGACTACTTAGGTCCGTATTATCTCTACTATGTGTCTACTGTCTAGCCTTCTTTTTTAATTAGTCATATTTCATGTCGCAACTAGATTATAAACTTGGGGTACCTTGTAAAAAAAAAGATGTATATATCTAGCATCTTGACTGCACAAGCACTGGGAGTCTATAGACTTGCTAATTGAGCGAGAAACTAGACCAAAAAGTCAAAAGTCTAAGGCGAACTTGGGCTGAATAGCAACAAGGCTGAAGCTGAAAATTCGATCTCAGGAGCAAAGACTTCAAGGTTACACTTTTAGATATTCATTTACTAAAAGCTCAATGACAAGATCTGTGGTAAACGCCTGAAGATTGAAGTGATAAAACTTGAGATTAAGATACTTTTTGATTTGGGCTACGAGGGTCTAAACTCGTGTTCAAAATGGTATGCTCACTTTGAAATTGCCCATTAGGGACCACCAAAGAGATAACTTGGGACATTGTGTCAGCTAGCGCATGGACTACCCAGATTGTGGTCCAAGCCGTGAACAAAATTTTGCTGAAAAGTGGCTGACGCACCATCATTTCTTTTATTCAGCGTGGCCGTGTAAACGAGTGGTGCGGTGGGGAATTTTGTGTAGTATGTGGAATAGGTTCAAAAGATTTTGTAGGTGTTCAAATTATAGGCTTGAACAAAGAGCAAATAGATAGAAATATGAATGCTTCAAGAAACAAAACTAGGTCGTTCCTTTCCATTTTCCTAAGCTTGGGTGGGTAGAGTTGCATGATACCTATGCTGGTGGGAGGTAGCAAGTACCCGATGAAATAGTCGAGTTCGAGCAAGCTGACCTGGACTCCACTTCTTTGTGATTGCATGGACTCCACTCTTATCAAAAGAAAAGAAGCTTCATAGGAGAGGAAATCTATAAGAACCTAGTGTGGCCTAGTGAAGATTTGAGTCATAAAGAGACAAATTTGACACAAGTAGGACATATTTTTAGAATGTAACTAAAATAGACAAATTCCACTTTATAAAGTTAAAGAAAAACTTCTGTTTATATCAAAATTTAGACATCAACTGATTTAACGTCTGTCGTTTGAAATTTTGATATAAAAAAGTCACACTAAGGCTATTTTAGTTACATTCTTAAAACATAGCCTACTTGTGTCAATTGTCTCTTTGTGGCTCAAATAGGTTCCAGATTCTCAATGAAGCGGTTGAGAGCCATAAGGTCTCGGTACAAATCCCAGCAGAGACACTTAAACAGTAGGTGATTCTTTCCATTTGTCCTAATTTGGTGGACAAAGTTACCTGATGCCGGTGGGAGGTGGTAGGTATCCCGTGGAATTATCAGTCGGGGTACGCGAAAGCTGGCCCAAGCACTACGGTCATTAAAAAAAACCTTTGTTAAAAAAATAAACTGGTTACTGCAAATAAAATGAGTAAGCCGAAGTTCTGAGGCAGCCTTGAATGTTCCAATCAAGAACTAGAAAATTTTATTCACTGAAACATACCATAATTATGAAAGAGAACTTCTAGAATCTAGACTTCCTGTCTATACAGCATTTGTTGTTGATTAACTACATAATCTAAGCTACTTATCTAAAATATAAAATAACTATAATACTAGAAGAGACCTTTAAGCCTTCATAAATCTGCTTCACGCTTTCATGTGAATAAGTGTTTAAAATCTTCTCTTTTGTTTTCTCTTTCGTTGTCCTAGAAGTACTCAATAGTGATGAGTGAAAACTAGGTGTTTCTCATATAAATACTGGTAGATATATTGTAGTTCTTGAGCAATTTTCAAGTGGAATGTGAGGTACCGCGGTCTTTCTCACTGACCAAGAGAACTTTTGATTGTCCAGATATCTTCCAATAATTTCAAGACGTTTTTGAAGTCCTTAGTAAAGAGGATCTGTACTATCTTCCAATTTTGTAACATGATCCATGGTGAGCATTAAAGTATGGTTATTTATTGTTAGGTCCCAAGTTGCAAGTATCTTTCAATACCTACGTCCTGCATGCTTGCTACTTCTGGTTGCCTCTTAGATATCAGATCTAGAGAATCATCGACCTTACTTGTGTTCTCCCTGTTTGCTACTTCTAGTTGCTTCTTGGATAGCAAAGGCTTGCTATATTGTTGAGTTCTTCCATTGGTGTGGCCTTCAATAGAACTTCTTCGTTGCCACCAAAAGTGTTGTTGGTGCAATGATAGGAATCTGTATCATATATACAAAGGGTGATGAAGAAGCATGGACATGATTACGTATTATGGCATCCTTATAAATGCCATGAAGTCATGACCAATTAAAACCCGTGGACGTTTGTTTGTACATACGTCGTCCTGTTTTCCCAAGCAATCTCATCGGTTCCAGGGCTAGATAGGTTTAAGGTTCATGCACCTTCTGCTCTCAATATATGCTTGCAAAATATGAACATGAAAGGCAGTGCATATATTAAAACATCACAGTATTAGCTTTTACATCAGAATAGAAGTTAACTAGGCTCTACTATCAGTACTAGTTAAGCAGAAGGGTTAACACTAACAGCTAAAAGGATCTTCAGCAAAGTCTAGCGATTAGTGCAGGTAAGTTGCCTGATAGTGGTAACCATTTCCGAAGAAGTTGCCATGTCCGGGAGGAAAGTTGTAGGCAGTACCAAGGAATGACGGAACGTGGGTGTCAGCTGGTCCAGGGTAAGCATATGGTCGGTCATATATGTACTGTGGATACCTATCAGTCATTCTACTAGCATAGAAGTTCTTGTCAGAGGCAACATTAGTGGCTCGAGCTCCATTTCCTACGCAATTGGCACGAGGTCTCTTGGGTTGAGGTTTGGCAACTTCAGTTGCTCTTTTCTTGTCTGCCTTTTCTTTCTCCAGCTGGTGAATCCGGTTCTGGAGAGGATCCACGGGGTATTGCGCCTCAAGCTTATGGTCTTCGATGCACTTTATCACAGCCTTCAGTGCAGTCAGCTGCTTCTCGTTGACATCATTCTGAAACAAAGACAATACTTTGATTGATGGCACATAAAAAAAAGGTTGCTTTAGAAAAGAAAATTCTCATTAAGGAGATGCAATAATTAGCAGAAGAGCATCGACTGCATAACTCCATAAGCAGCACTTGTTCTCCCAACCCAAGGGAGAACTAGAGAAGAAAGGGATTCTTGGACACAGACCATGATATTACAGTGAGAACTTGTACAAAGCAATACGGACAAAAGAAAGCAGTCCAGTGCACAACGCATACATGTTAGCAGGTCCTGGGAAGGACCGCACTCCAAGGGGTAAGATGAAGATAGCCTACACTAATGCAGTGCAAGCATTAGCGGCTGCTTCCACAGCTCAAACCCTGTAGGTCACACGGATACCCTTGCTCCAAGGCACCCCCTTACTCATTCAGACAAAATAGTGAATTTCAAAATATGCAAAGGCACAGAGTACAAACCTGTGCAGTAGTAGGTGGTGCATTTCCAGATTTGACAGGTGAAGATACTTTGCTTGCTTCATTCAAGTACGATTTTAGTAGTGAAACGGGTGAAAACTTGTCAGTCAGCTCAAACGCAAAAGCTAGATTAACAGCATCTATATGCCTTCCATTATTAACCAGCACGTCAATAACACCTGTAGAAATGCAAAAGTAGAAACCAAACAGATGTTTAAGAAATCTGAAGCATATGAGCCAACTTGACCTCCTAGACCCAATAGATGACAGGAAATACTGTTCCACTTACGTGAAAAGCTAAAAATAGACATACTCACAAATCAACACTAATGTGCTGTATTCTTGAAAATATGAACAGGGAGAGGAACACAGTTATGAATTTCAATTCTGTCAAAAGACGTGTATTCCACCGAAAATATAAGCATATAAAAATCTCTAGCCATGGACTCAAGTATTTCCGAAAACTAACCTGGCATTCTCTCAGACAATCCAAGGGAACGACAGAGATCTGCTGTTTGGCGGCGACGTGAAACCATGGGTATCAGCTTGTACAGGTCTTCTTGGTTAAAGTTGGAGTTAATACCAAAAGTAGCAAGAAGCTGTAAGAATGCATGAGCCTCCAAGGAATTCCCATTATTTGCATCAATGTCAAGCTCATCTAACTTTGGTTTCCACTCCTCAGCAATAGCTTTTGCCCGTCCCTTAACACTTGCTGATATTAAACTTGAAACAGAATCCAATTCCAGTGTTGTTAATAAAATGCCAAGGCATTCCATTAGCATAATACAAGTTCGGCGAAGACCTAAAAGATTTGCGTCTTTTTTAGCATCTGAAATTGATACTTCTGAGGGGTAAAAACCCTTGAGTGAGTCCAGCACCAAACAGGCAGGATCAACAGCAGTTCTTAAAGCAGATGGAATTTCCTCCCTTACAGCAGCCAGGTTCTTGCGGTTGTCAGATATAAATTTGTGGAGGCCTTCCGAGTCCATATCTTGGCATAACTCAACTAAATCTGGATAACACTTGACTTCCACAACACCATTCTTGAAAGGCTTCATAGTATCCTCTGTATTCTCAAGTGGTATGTAATCAAGGGGCTTTGCATCAAACATAGACGACTCACCTTGCACCTCAGGAGTAGCACCAGCAGGTTCCATGCAATTAGACTTCGTATGCTTCTCCATAGCAATAGTAATGGCAGAAACTGCAGCATCTCTTTTCTCTTGGAGGCTCTCAAGTGAAGCTTTCTCACAAGAGATAACAGCAGCTTGACGATTCTCCAATATCTTTTTAGATTGAACTATTTTTGTTTCAAACTCCTTCTCTTGGTCTTCCAGTTCGGTGAAGCGCCTCTTCAAAGACTTCTCAAGCCCATGAAAGTGCTCTTCAAGTTGCTTCCATTTCAGGTTTAGTGTAACAGCACGATGACTTTCCAGCTCAGCAAATGCTTTCTGTAGCTGCTGTATCTTAGAGGTTGTGGAGTCCATCAGTGTTGCAACTGATTGTGTATCTTCCATGGTAAAAATCCTAAAAGATTTTGAGAGATGAAACACAAGAAACAAGAACAAGTTATCAGTATTGTTAACTAAAAGAACTCCAATTTATTTATTTAATTTCAGAACATTTGCATTTTGAAGTGTAATGTCTAGACAAATTATTGAAAGAGATCATTATACAAACCTATACCTGTCGATAAAAAAGTCAAAAGATAAACCTAACTAAGATTTGAGGTTAATACAATTTCATGTTTTAATAAATCGGAACAAGCCCTTTTCTTATTTCTTTTTGGGATTTTAGTATTTCAGAGTTGGTCACAGATGCTCCTTAACAAAACTCCACTTATTCATCAAGGCCAATGGAGCATCTTCCCATGATGAAGTATCTGCCTAAGTTGCGCAAACTCTTCACTTTCAATGCCGCACCCGTGTCGGATTCTCCAAAAATACACTTCCTTTGGAGAATCCTACACGCACCCGTTGACCTATGTGAAGAGTATGAGCAACATAGGTATCTACAACACCTTTTCAACAGCATCATTGTTAGAAATAAGGCAAGATTTGCTTATAAGTTATAACCAACACTCCAACAGGAATACACCTCATAATACACGCAGAGAGAGAAAAGGAAAGAAAATATCCAAAATAGCCTTCTGATAAAGTACCTACTACTCTTTAATTCTTGTCAATAACCTTTTCAACAGCATCGTTGTTAGAAATAAGGCAAGATTTGCTTATAACCAACACTCCAACAGGAACACACCTCATAATACACGCAGAGAGAGAAAAGGAAAGAAAATATCCAAAATAGCCTGCTGCTAAAATACCTACTACTCTTTAATTCTCATGAATAACCTTACATGAAGACGACAAGTTCAAGATACGCTGTTAATGTGCCAAATCAAGTTCACTCACGAAAAGCAAACCAAGAAACTCGGAATTTACGCGCAACAGATTATCACTTAAGATTTGTAAACAAAATCATCAATCAACTTAATCTGAAATCCCAAACTAGTTAGCATCGACCACATGAATCCTCTAATTCGTCTTGTGAGGCAAAATTAGGGATTTCCCTTAACTATAAAAAGCTAAAACTCATGTTTATCTTACACTAACATGCAAGTCTTCAACCAAACAACAACATACCCATTGTAATCCCAAAAGTGGGATATGGGTAGGGTAGGATGTACACAGACCTTACACTTAACACCTACCTTTGGGGAACATGCAAGTCTTCAACAGCCAGAAAAAAAGAAACCTAGCAAACACTACACCTAAAAATAAATAGAACCAAAGAAAAAACATTATCAGTAATAACAAAGAAGAAAAAGATTTAAAACAAGGAAAATGTCAAGAAGTTAACATAAATTATTTAACAACAAGACCCAAAACAATATTGCACTCTAATATCTCATGGACCTAAGTAACCATCCAAAAAAGATACTCAGATAGCCAACACAAAAGACTAAATTTGAAAAATAATAATGGATCAAAATGAACACGCAAGAAGTTACTTCCTCCATTCACTTTTACTTTTCCACTTTGGATTTTGCACATCCCTTAGGCCTTAAGAAACATATTAATACCCTATCAATTGATGGTTAGTATTAGGTCTTACAAACTGATTTAGGAAAGAAGTAACTAATACTAAGGCTAAAACATGAAGAAAAATAATCCTCTTACCTTGAAAAGTTAAAAGTGACAAGTAAAACACAAAACTCTAGTTTTGTAATCGTGGACAAGTAAAAGAGAAAGTAGGGTGTGTTAACACTGGCGAATGGAGCTAAAACTCATATATTATCCCACATTAACATGCAAGTCTTCAACCAAAACAAAAGATTAACAAACAAGGAAAACATAAAAATCTAGTTTTGTGATCGTGTACAAGTAAAAGTGAAAGCAGGGAGCGTAACACTGGCAAACGGAGCTAAAACTCATATTTTATCCCACATTAACATGCAAGTCTTCAACCAAAACAAAAGATTAACAAACAAGGAAAACACAGAAGTTAACAATTTCAAAAAATAAAATTATTTTTTGTTTCACAAAAAAAAAAAAAAAAAAAAAAAGGTTAACATGAAGCACACTGCAAATTACTAAATCACACAGAGCTAACAAGAGCCTTACACACCAGTGAAATATCTCACTCTAATATCTCCAGAACCCAAGTAAACGGCAAACAAAGATATTCAGATCGCAAACAGAATTAAGCTAAACAAACAACAAAACATCAAAATTAACATGTAAAAAGCTACTACACTAGCTAATTGAGCTCCAGATTCCACAAATTTAGTAAATTACAGCAAAAAAAAGGGGGTAAATGTGTTAACGAGCAAATACTTGATCTTAAGCTACTGAGTGACCTAAAAAAAGAAAGCAAATGAAAATAGAAGTTGAGAGGTAAGAGCTTACGAGATCGGCGGCGGAAAATGAAGTGTCGGCGGCGAATTTCGCCGGAGAAATTAGGCCATTTTCTGGTGGCGAGGGTTTTTTGGTTTGAAGAGAGAAGGAACAAAAGAGGAAAGTAAGAGATAGAATGTTGACTGCTATTTTACGACAGCTTCTGACACTCACACACATTGCAGCAGCCTTTCTTTTCTTATTACCACACCTTTTTTTTTATTTTAAAGTTTTCGATTCGATATTTGATATTCGTAGTGAAATTGCAGGGAATTCGCATTAGAATTCGATTATAAAAATGTTGTTATACTTAGAATTCGTTTGACCATGAGAAATTTTTATTTAGTTTATTTGTGACTTATATGATATAATATAAATTAGTTCGAGCGTATTTTAAATGAATTGTTATGTTGGACGTGTATATCTATTCGTTCAAGTTTATATGTCTATTTATGCACACTTAAAGTTGGAGGACGTATATATCTGTTGAAATCATGTTAAAAAATACATTTATGTATTATACCTATAAACAATGTTATTTCTATTTTAGTTTGTGCTTGAACAGAAGATTCAAATCAACTTTTGAAAATGCGATTTGAAACTATGATCCCAAATTTAAAAAGAAAATGATTTTGAATTTCAAATCATGATTTTTTAAAAGAAAATTAAATATAAAACTTGGCCCATAAGTATAGTTTGGAAACAAACTGTCATTTTAAATTTTACAAAAAAAGAGTTGTGCCTAATATGAAGAAGATTATTTGTATAATGTGAAAGAATTATATTAAAGAGGGATATAGAGATATTTGGTGCTCGTGCCAGCACGGGCCCAATAAATATTTTTTTTTTGTTTTAATTTATGTGATATAAATGGAATTTGAAGATCAGTCGATTTTTTATATGTTTTCTTAAAAATATATTTGAAGTTATTAAATTGTTGTTATTTATAGTATTTTTGCGTTAGTTTTGAATAATATAGGTTACTCATGTTTCAATTCACGTGAATAATCATAAATATTTTCAGTTGTTAATTTATTGTGAATTCTAGAAATTTTGACGTTATTTTCAAATAGTACATGTTACTTATTCTATTCCCATTAGTCAACCAAATTTCTTATATGATTTAAAAATATTTTTAATTGCTAATTATTGTGATTTATAGCATCTTTTATATAACTTTTAATAATATATAATTTGTTCAAATTCATATGACAATGATAAGATTTCAAGAGTCAACGCAATAAAAATTTAAATTTTTTTAAAAAGTTGTACCTCTAATATATTTTGTAGCTAAAATATACTCTCTCCGTCCACTTGTATTTGTCATGTTGCACTTTTTGAAAGTCCATTTGATTAATTTTCAAAGTTAAATCAGATTGTATTAATTTGATATTTAAAAAAAATAAATTAAAATATTTAAAATCTATACAAAAAGTACTATAAATTGTTATTTTTTTGCCTATGAATATGATGAAAAAACACATTGTAAAATATTAGTTAAAATTCTTATAGTTTGACTCTAAAAAGAAAATCATAACAATTAAAAGTGCATAGAGAGAGTAATAAATAGGTAATTAAATTTGAAGAAAGTTTAAAATAAAAGGTTGAAAAAAAGAATTAGATAAACAACATATATTGAAAATTGAAAACATATAAATAATAAAATGGGGCCCAAATGAGGTCAAAACTTTTTTGGCTAATAAAGTAGTAGTAATTAATTGTGTTAAATTGTCCAATAATATAAATTTTAAAGGTACAACCATAAAGAAGAATGGTACAACACTATGAAACACATATCATCCAACACTTGTCATGTGCTAAGTAGTAGATATTCCCACTTATTATATTTCCACGGGCCAAACAGAATTGAAAATTCGAATCCAAAGAATCTTCGTTTGATCGCCAAACATTATCCACATACTGTTTTTTCTTTACTTTTTTTTCAATTATTATTGGATGAAAATGCAAATCACCTTTTTTTCCTTTCTTTTTTAATGATGGAATTAAATTATTTTTTTCTCCCAATATTTGTAAACATTTTTCATATCATTAACAAATTTTAACATGTGTTAGTATAAAAAAGTTTTATAATAATTGAAGATGGAGTTGGAATTTTAACTTTATGAGTGTTAAATTTTGGAATAAAGATTTTAATATTGACAAGTGGGTTTTAAATTTGATATTTATATATATTTGACGATCTTTTTAATATAAATATACAATTTTAAAAAAATTATTAAGTTCTATCAAATTCGCTTCAGAATTTCTAATTCTACCTTAAAAGTATTTCATTTATAATAGAGGCAAAATAAATATTTTTATTTATGAATTCTAAATTTTAGAAATTTTTTTATAATATTTGTGATAAATTATATATATATATATATATATATATATATATATTTTTATATTAATAAGCCACAATGCAACTATCATTGTAGCTATCTTGTTAGCTTTCAACCAAAAGCTAACAAATTTTTAAGTTAATTCTAACTATCTTGTTACCTTTCAACCAAAAGCTAACAAGATTTTTAGTTACATATTTATTATTTAACTAAATAATAAATATGTCATTGTATGAGCTATTTATTACTCATTCCTTTTGAATTTGTTAATTTGATTTTGATCTGACACATAGTTTACGAAAGTAAATTAGATTTTGAGGAAATACATTAAGTGATACTTGAAGTTGTCCCAGATTTTCAAAAAGACACATTAACTTTGCGTGCGTCCTATTACCCCACAAAACATTCAAAATCACAATAAATACACATTTTTTTACACAATATTTCCACTTTGGACAAAAATATCCTTCGAATGTGCAATTTCTTAAAAACAAAAAGTCGGACCCATTATTGATATATTGAAGGATGCTTTGGTAATTTCCTATGATGAATTCGTTTTGTTTGTTTCTTTTAAATTTCTTTTACTATACTAAATAATTGTATAAAATATTATGAATCACGATAATTAATTACTAAAATATTTAAAAGATATAAAAATATATAAAAGATCTGATTGACTCTGCAACATTTACCGGTGACACATAAATTTGGACAAATGAAATAATATTTATTATTTGAAAATTTCTTAAAAAGTACTATAAATTACAGTAATTAACAGCTAGAAATATTTCAAAGACAAAAAAAATTGATTGAATCTCAAAAAAATTTTAGTACTACATAA